GGAGCAGGGAGCCCGATGTGGGGCTCGATCCCAGGACCCTGGGATCATGACCTGAGCCGAAGGCAGACGCTTAACGACTGAGCCACCCAGGCGCCCCGCCCCTAGGATGCTCTTAATCAAAAAGTCAAATAACAAGTGTTGGACAGATTGTAGAGAAATTGTACTGTTGATTGGAATGTAAAATGGTGTAGCTGCTTTGGAAAATAGTCTGGCAGATCCTCAAAAATTTAAACACAGAGCTATTATATGACCCATTCATTCTACCCCCAGGTATATACCTAAGATAACTGAAAATATATGTCTACACAGAAACTTGTACACTAATATTCATAGCAGTATTATTTATAATAGCCCCCAAAAAGAAACAATCCAAACGTCTATCAACTGATGGATAGACACAATGCACTATAACCTTATGATGGAATATTATTCAGCAATAAAAAGGAATAAAAAACTTATGCTACAACATGGATGAACCTCAAAAAAATTACATTAAAAAACCAGTCACAAAAAGCCACATATTGTATGATTCCATTCATATGAAATGTCCCAAAGAGACAAATCCACAGAGACAGAAAGATTAGTTGCTAGGGGCTGAGGAAAGGGAGAACTAGGGAACAGCTGCTAGTGGAAGCGAGCTCTTGGGGTGATGAGACTGTACCAGAATTAGATAGTGAGTATGGCTGCACAACCTGTGAATGTACTAAAATCCAATGAACTATGCCCTTCAAGAGGGTTAATTTTATGGGTATTGTGAATTATAGCTCAATAACAATAGTAAAAAAGAACATGTGCAAAAGAAATGAAAAAAACTATAAATAAATGTGAGTCTAACTTTAAAACTGTACTCCTTCATTTTCAAGGCATTTTGATATGCCGCTTAGTAATGTATTCATTATAACATTTCTGGTTCTTTAATTGTCAAACTCCTTTGTTTTTACAACTCAGTACTAGATATATGTTTCTTGGAATGCATGAGTCAAGCTGGACAGTTAGGGAGATATGTAATCTGTTTAGGGCAACAAAACAAGTAAACTTTTTCCATTATTTCCAGTAGCTTTGTTAAAAGCAGTATCCCAGGGTTGCTTCCTTTTACAAGATGGATGAGTTTCACAAGAGTAGGCTATGAATATACATTTCCCCCAACTGATTTCCATCATAATATAAGAAATTGTATAATTCTCTTTGAGTTGAAAATTTTGTCAATAAGGAGGCTTTTAAAATGGTAGCTAAACTCCATAGACCACTGGAAAGTTCTTTTTGGCAAGTTCTTTTATAAGAAAATTCTTACACGTATTATAAGGATAATAAGAAGTGAAGCCCTTTTCATTTCTTCTTTAACTGGTAGCATTAAGTGAAAATTAAGGTAGGAAGTACAGTATAAACCAGATATTGCTTTACATCATTTTCGAAAACTACTTTGTTGTTAAATAACATCACCTAAGTACTTTTATAAAGAAAAATATAAACATTTCTACATTATAAAAATATGAGAGCAAAATATGTCACTATTAGTAAAAGATATTATTTGGTCTTTGTCAAATATCTCTGAACCTAACATATTCATATATTCTCTAAACTCCAATGTGCAACTTTGTCAGAAAAACAAGTAATCAAATATACAGTTTTTAGAATATACATACATATATATATATTACCTGGACATGACAAAATTATAGGACAGTCTAAAGTAAAATTAAAACCTACAAGTCAAACTACTTTTAAGTTTTATAGAACATTAAAAAAAAACTATTAAGCAGACGTTTATGATTCAAGCAATACATAAATGTCTGCTTTTTTCAAAATGGAATCAACAAGAAAGAAAAATCAAACCTGCTTCATCGCTTCTACTCGCTTATTGAGAGCTGTGGTTTGCTCAATCAGAGATTCTGCTGCATCGTCATGATCTCTCAATCTTTCAACAAGAGCTTTAGCATCAGCAAGTGCCTTCTCAATTGTGCAACTCATTTCTAAAGGAATACCTATAAAATTAAAATCAAGACTCAAAACAAAGCCAGTATATCGTCTTACTATTCTAGTTTCATGTTAACATACATATGCTTAAGCTACATTTGTTACAGGATTGTTCACTGCGCAGAAAAAACATGTAAGAACACTTGTGGTTTTGCTTCTTTTAGGATGGCACAAGCCTGAAAGTGAATTTATAGTATCAAAAAAATTAGAGCATATATAAATGATTTGCAGACATAATCAGAGTGTATTTAAAATACCCTGAATTTATGGTGGGGAAAAAAGTACAGATCAAGTGAATACATTTTATATTATATAAAAATTGTGCTCTTCAGGAGATCACTCCCTTATCTTGTTATTTGTGAAAAAGGTCACTTTATTAGTCCGTATTCTGTGGTCCATGATTGTGAGTTGCTAACTATGAGATCCTTCCTAGCCTCTGCTTGGTCGGGTGACCTGAGATACCATTTACAACACACACTTATTGACCAGCCAAACTGGTCTCTATGTGTCATGCTATGTCAAAGTGTCCTTCTTTTGGAGGAACTACATCTTATATGAAGTACTATAATCCCAACTCTTGCACTTCCTTAGTAAATGGTTAAAAAAATATGACGTAGAACACCAGCCATTATGGGAAATTTTTGATACGTTAAAATCAATAAATAATGTGTTTAAGAGGAGCTCAAAAAATTAGGAGACAAAATATGAAACATTCAATAGTTAGCTTCTTTCTTCCCTAGTATGCAGAGACCTCAAAACAAAATTGTAATTTTAAAATAATCTCTCTCAAAGACTTTAACCTTCTGAAATTTACTATCTTTGAATTCTTCTCTTAGTTTTACCTTACCTTCTATATGAGCCATCCTTTCTTCAGGGCTTTCTCAAAAAGTAAAGTCACACGGTAAAATTACTAGGCCAGAAGCCAGGTCTACAGCAGTTAAATTAAAACTCTGGTATGGATCCAAGCTAAGGGCTATAATTAAGGATTTCATCAACTGCAGGAAGACAAATTTGCTACAGAATGCAAGATTGTTAGATTCTACTGTACTAGTTCAAACCTGAATAAGAGGATTTAATCAGAATTAAAATGAAAAACTGCCAATTTAGAAAATACTCAATATATGACATTTCCAGAGAGCTTTAAGAATTAAAAAAAAGCTGGAAATTAATACAATTTCTGGCTCTCCAGATAAAACAACCAAAAGATTTGTCTTCTAAGATTTGAGAGATTCAGAAAAAGGTACTTGAAAAAATGATAAGCAAAGGGGTCATTAAAGTTACAACTGTCCCATACTGGCTAAAACACAAAAGGACAACTATCCATTATCTGTTCAAGATGCTGCTCCAAGGAAGACATTAGCAAACAACGTCCTGTCCTTTCTCTAAACTTCCAAGGAGAATTACTTAAAATTATAGATGGATAACAATACAGATTTCTTATTCATATGGGAGCCATCATATCTCCCATTAACCCCACTAGTATGAAACACCAGATCCTTCAGAATAGAATTTTGAAGTTATTTAAAGCCCCCTCACCAAAAAGAAACAAAAACAACAACAACAAAAAAAACAAAACTGGGAGGGGGAAGTGGGGGCAAATTGACTCGTAATGAGTAAAAAAAAAAAAAAAAATTGGGGTGCCTGGGTGGCTCAGTCGTTAAGTGTCTGCCTTCAGCTAGAGTCATGATCCCAGGGTCCTGGGATCAAGTCCCGCATCAGGCTCCCTGCTCGGCGGGATGCCTGCTTCTCCCTCTCCCACTAGCCCCTGCTTGTGTTCCCTCTCTTGCTGTGTCTCTGTCATTAAATAAATAAAATCTTAAAAAAAAAAATTAAAAACAAGACATATTTGTCTTACAGTAAAGATAATTGGATGGAACAGATGGTCAAAGAAAATAATAACAAAAAAAAAATTGAAAGTCTAGAGAAAATTATAAAAGACTTTAGAGACATAAAGTTTATCTTGGCTTAACAGAACAACTCAAGGGCTAAGAACCTCTAACAATTCCAGGTCCCAACCTGTGAATAATATTATTGGGACTACTATCTGAAAAATACTCCTTTATGCTCTGTAACACATCTACAAATATAATACACAGGATCTGTTTCCAAACAGAATACACTAAGGCTCCTACATACGATTAGATGATAGGTGATGTAGACATTAAAAAAACTATACTGTGTATGATTCAATAAGTTTCCCCCCCCTTGCCCTCCCAAAAAAAAGGGGAGAAGAAAAAAAACTGAGCTCCTAGATTCCTCTGGGCAAAAGAATCCACAGAGACTGACAGATTAATTGGAAGAGAGCCCTGAATCTAGATGGAGTCTTCCTAGGTAATCATAAATCTTTTTTTTTTTTTTAAATCTTTCTTTTTAAAATACAAAAAAGTTATGCTGTGTTCTGGGGATATTAACTTCACAACATGGCACCAGAGTCACTGCCTATTAAATCCTATGCCTTAATTGAGGAGCTAAGATAGCCTTCTTCCCTCAGAGCAATCACAAGGCTTTGATTAAAACATCTTCCTAACTTACACTAGGTCTTTTTTTTTTTTTTTTTAAAGATTTTATTTATTTTTTGACAGAGAGAGACAGTGAGAGAGGGAACACAAGCAGGGGGAGTGGGAGAGGGAGAAGCAGGCTTCCCGCTGCAGGGAAGCCGATGCAGGGCTCAACCACAGGACCCTGGGATCATGACCTGAGCCAAAGCAAATGCTTAACCGACAGAGCCACCCAGGCTCCCCTACACTAGGTCATTAAACCTAATGTTGCCATGTCACAAATCCCTATTGGTAAAGGAAAACCACTCTATGTTTTCTACTAGCTGAATAATTATGAAATATTGTTACTTTCTCCTTTTCATATTACCATCCACTAGTAACACTCTTACTCCAATAACCAGCTCACTGAATGAAAATCTCATGATTGTGTTTCCATTCCATAAATCAAGAAATGTCCAAGCCCCAAACAAAACTTTTGAATTCTCTAGGCACAAATCTTGACTTTACTGCTTGTTAATAGGTTTTATAATAGCACAAAAAGTGACAATACCAGATTTGATATACAATAGGTACTTCAGTCACTCTGATAAAACTAATTTTCTTACTGGAAGCCAAACTGATCAAATGACTTAACTGTAGCTGTCTAAAATAGAGCAACTTGCTTTAAAAAAAAAAAAAAAAAAAAGTGAATTTATATTCTAATACCTGGATCATTTTTGGGATAATTCACTTCTTTGAAATACTGCAAAAAAAAAAAAAAGTTCCTCAGATATCCCTTAATAAACAATGAATACATTAACTATTTAATGGCTTGATACTACCTAAAATAACAGAGACACACAATTAAAAAAAACACCATACAAGCTAGGATGCTATGTATGTACTAGTATACATAGTATAATTATGGAACTACCTTATGCTATAAACAGATTTCTTTGACTCAAAGTCCTTATGCAAGGGCCTCACATAAAACAACAAAATCATAAATCTATGGAGAAGTTCAAAGATTCCATCACAGACACGCAAAATCTGGCCTGACAAATTCCAAAAAGAAACATGGGATGATCAAGTTGTAAAATCCACGAGGATAAGAGCGGCCACAATCAGAATGGTGACTCGATAGCACCAGATGAAACCTCAAATGGACACTAGAAACTCTAGGAAACATCACATTCCAGTAGGAAAAAAATTTGGCCACAATATTAGAAACACTGATTGGAAAATTTTTTGGATAGCAGGGGATATTGCCCAGTGCATGTTTTATTTGCAAATAAATTAATCTGGAAAAATTTAAAAGATGAAGTGAGGACTAAAACCATTCCTAAAGAATTTTTTGAACATCTTCCAGTGGATTTTATAGGGCTGTCTCTCTATGCTCTAGCAATACATAACATTCCTTAATATACTAGTATGTTTATATTATGAATGGGTTGAAAAACTCCCCTGTTAAAAAGCCATAATAATGGCAATAGTTAAAATACTACTATAGTTTGTACTTCCCACCAACGACATTCTAACTTCTCAATCAAGTATTATGGAAATGTATTTAACTGGCACAGTTATTTATGAATTTAAATTATGCAGCACTCTCTCTTCCTCAGAAATCTTCCTGTCTTCATCATTCCCAGTCTTGAGTAAAACTCAAACAGGATAAATCCAAGAAGGTCTAAACTCAGACACACCATAATCAAATTTCTGAAAACTAAACAGAAAGAAAAATTCTTAAAAACAGAAAGAGACAAATGACACTTATGGAGAACCAACAATTTGAAGGACAGTCAGAAGCCAAACTGATTCAAATTGAAAGCAAAACACTTAAAATGCAGAAAGAACAAACTGTCACCCCAGAATTCTATATCCAGCAAAAATACCCTTTATATATGAAGGTGAAATAAAAATCACTCTCAGAAGAAAAAGAATCCATTCTTAACAGATTTGTTCTAAAAGAATTTCTTCAAAGAGAAGCAAAATGGTATCAGAAGGAAACTTAGAGCATTAGGAATAAAGGAAGAGTAACATAAATAAATAGGCAAATATCATAAACTATTCTTGAATGCTTTAAAATGTCTGATGTTTGAAAACAAGAACTATAACTTCTATCTGATTGAATTTTCAGTTTATGTATATGTAATATATAACTATGATATAAAGGGGGAAAGATAAATGGACCTATATAGTGATAACATTTTAACATGTCACCTGAAATTATTAAATAGCAACTGCAAATAAAACTGTTTTATGTATGTATGTATATATAGAGAAACCCCTAAAGAACCTGTACAGAGATAAGTCAAAACTACAATAGATGAATTAAAATAAAGTAAAAAGTGTTCAATAACCCAAAAGAACAAAAAGGGGGAAATAAAGGAACAAAATATTGAAGGAACAAATTACAAGATGTTGGACCTTAATTCAAACATATTAGTAATTACACTAAATGTAAATGTTCTAAACACACTAACTAAAAGATATATTATCAGAATAAATTAAAAAACAGAACCTAGGGAGGG